TTCATTAATTTTTTAATATTTTGTTCGTTAGTGATTATTTTGATTACAATCATTTAAACGGGTGCTGCAGATTCAGCACTAATTTGAACTGAAGCTGTTTCCACCGGGCAATGGACTCCTCATAATATTCGATAACATGAAGTGATGTTATTTTCTTGGTTTTTTTATTTTTTGACTTTGTCCTGCGAGCAATAATCTTTTTTCATGCCAATCATAGATTGGCCAAACACACAATGAGGGTGGCCCAATGGTGAGGGATGGGATCAGACATATCTGGCATAGACTACAATCTAAAAAATTCCTTGAAGTTTTTTAACCTCCCATATTCAATCCCTACTCTAGTAGAACAGGAGGCTAGCACTTTAGACACCTCAGCCAACTGACCAGCATTTTTGCAATATCAAACTTTTGAATTCTATATTAAATTATATAGTATATAACTTATAGCTTATAAATTATGATCTAATATAATTTATACAAAAATAACAGTTATTTTTGTATAAATTATATTAGATCATAAATAATAGTTTTTAAAACTCTTTACACTCCATGTGCACTAATCCACAATGAACCTCATATAAAAGTGTATTGTAGGTTTGATCTAGCCTAAAAAAGAAATTCAGAAATTCATATCAGGTCAAATTCGGGTATTTATCCTGAATCCCCAAATTTGACCTGATATGAATTTCTGAGGAGCTGAGTTGGGAACAGGAAATCCACTGTGTGAATTGTTGAGCAACTTTTGAGCCCCTCTCTCTCTGTCATGTACAGTACAATGATATAAATTTTGAAACCCACATGCAATGTAGTATGAGGAGTGCCTCATACTGTACACACAATTAATGGATGGTCCCTTTAACTTGAATCTGAGTCCTCCAGAGTAGCAGTCAGACATATTAGTCAACTTAACTTGCCAGCTGGGAAGCTATCTAAATTACCTATTCCCATCTACTTAATGCTCAGATTTGTCAATCCATTTAAAAAGTATAATATGAATCCTTTTATCTTGTTTCTTCTATGAAACCTTCAAAATCAAAGTTGGATAAACTGTGCTATAATTTTTAACAGTCAAATTCAAAACTGCATATATATGCCAGATAGCTGCAACAGTAAAGGTATAATCCACTATTCTGGAGGACAAAGTTAATCCAGGTAGGATTTCCATAATCTTTGAAGATGATTTGACTCTCAAATGTTGGGTACTATATTTTACTGAGGAATGGTATCCAACATATGATATATAGACACCCAGAGTTTGTACCCATAGAGCAGAATAAAAAAAAAACTTATGGCATAAATATCTATTGAAGTTTATTTTGAAACCAATTAAATGTGGTTTTTGTCATCTTATCAGTTTGATTGTATAAATTAATCAACAGTAGGACAATCATTTCAATGTAGAATTTATTTATTTGTCATAAATAAATTCAAGAAACTGCTGAAAAATTGTTTATGGCAAATAAACAATTTTTAAGTCACCTAAAGAACTATTAGTGTAGTCATTAGATATTGATATGTTTTTTCTGCAATGTCAAGAAAGTGTTTATTTGTCATAAACAATTTCTTGACATTGCAGAAAAAACACATCAATATCTAATGACTACACTAATAGTTCTTTAGGTGACTTAAAGTATCTGGATAATTACAATAAATGTCTTCAATATGTGTAATAGAAAAAGTTTGTTAGTTACTTGGAACTCTTGGAATAATGTACCCTCTCAAAAAAAAAAAAAAAAAAAATTTCTGTTACTGAATAGGGACCAGGAGGTTTTGACAATTGGGAAGCTAGGTTAGTTACCTTGTTGGTTTGGGAAAGGAGGGTGGAAAGTGCATCCTTCAGAATTCAAGATTGATTTCCCCTCTGTGACCTTGTCCTTTCCATCCACCTGCCAGCCTAATATGCACTTACCTTTATTGGAAAATCTTCCTTTTACTATTTTACTTTATAACTATTAAATTATTTAAGTCATTTTTTAAAAAGTAGAGAATGTTTAGTAATATTATATTCAAATATACGAGCGCTAAGAATGCATTTCGGATAATTATATAATTATCCGAAATGCATACTCAAATAAATAAAAAGTCTTTCTAAAGTTTGTCCTCCGTTTCATTGATGGTGTAATAAGTCTAGCGGAAAAGAAAAAGCCATCTCAGCACTCGTATATTTGAACATAAGACTAGACAAGAAGCATATCGCATAATATTATATTCATTTATAAATTTCATTTAAAAAATGAACTCCAAATTTCCTGATATGTCTTCTATATCTTATTTGTCTGGATCAATATCTTTTAACTATTCCGAATAGAATACTCATCTCTGAATTCAAATTAATGTGAATAATCCTTAACAGCCCATGAAAATTTTGATATTTCTATATTAGCCAAATAAACAATAAAAAAATTAGCAAACAATTTGTTCACTTCTAAACAATGTCAAATTTATAAATGTTTTTTTTATAGATTATTAGGATTACAAATAACATGGCTTAAAGGTTCTAATATTACTCATATAACAAGATGACTACTAATAATAAATTTCATATTAATAATAATAATAATATTGTTCCAAATACACAGATAAACATGGATTGAGCATACATAATTAGTGGATTTATTTCAGGAGTACACAACATACTGGCCCATAGGTCACATGCACAATGTGATGTGCTAAATATTTCAATGCTGTCTGCTGCCCGTTTTTAATAAAAATGTTTCTACTTTAATAGGTGTACCTATGAATATTTGTTCATAAATGAATTAACATGGTTTTAATTTAAAACCATATTAAACTTAAATACACTATATGGTTTTAATTTAAAACCATATAGTGTATTTAAGTTTAATAAAATTTCATATTGTTGGACTTTCACACACATTTATTTAATGAATTCATTTTACAGTATTGTTGACTGTTTAAAAACAGTTTGAATTAAAATGTAGCTTAAAACGATACAGAAGATGAGGATGCTCATCTTCTGTATTACTTCAGGCTGCATTAATTTATTTATTTGTAGAAATTAGAATTGTATGAGTTGCAATAAAATTTTTATCCATTTAAATATAATTTATGAAAAGATGAACTGTAATTAATAGATATTACCAGGGCTGTGGAGTCAGAGTCAGAGTTGTGGAGTTTTGGTGTTTTAGCCAGAGTTGGAGTCGGCAAAAAATCCGCTGACTCCGACTCCTTTTTACTTACCAACTTGTTATGTATATAAAACAGAAAAGTATTGGAATCGTGTCAAATTTGACCCTCCAAGTTTTTTTTTGCAAATCTACATGTTTGGAGACCTCCCGAACCTCTCAAAAAAGTCAATAAAAGGGGAAAAATTCATGCGAGAGTATATGTTGGCATTTAATTTGTTTAATTTATTTATTTTCTGTTCTAAGATATTAAACAATATCTCAGAATGGGTACAGTTTAAGAAATGAAATGTGGCACTGTAGCTCGTGTATAAAGGGGCATTAATACTATTAAATGTTGTTTCTTAATTAAAGGTTGACAGGGTGAAGACATAAAAGGGTCATGTCATATCTCTTAATGAATATTTTACTTGTTATTAGTGTTCAAAATTTAAAAAAATAAAATAAAACGCGTCTCTTTCCTCAAAACAAGCTTTTTTGCCATTTTATAATAGTACAGTAAAACCCGTTAAGATGTTCTCACCTGAGATGTTAGAATGTATATGGGGACATGATTTAGTTCAACCACTTTGATGCTTAATAACCTACTCCTGTGTTAAACCATCTGACTCCGATTCTGACCACAGAAATTATTAGGCTTCAAACATGGTGAACAAAATCATGCCCCCCACACAGTCTAACATTCACACATATAGAAAAAAACCTCAAATCTTTTGCATATCTCAAAATTTCAAGGTGTCTTGAGTCCAAAAATATAAAAGTTTGGGAGGGTCATTTTTTGACCAAGCGCTACACTTTTCCTCTGTTATATATAACAGCCAGAAAAGTAAAAATTATCGAATACATATTTATATAGGCCTATTACTTAGAGAAGTCTTTTAGCTTTGAAATAAAACTATATTCCAAAGCTAAAAGACATTCTATCTTTATTAGAACTCTATTTATTGAATCTTTTATTCTGAGGTCACGTGATGACATCAGAATTTCTGGGTCTCTTTTGGTAACAAGTCCGCCCCTGGTTGGAGTTGGATGGTAAGGAAAAGTCGAAGTCAGAGTCAGTAGATTTTTACACGACTCCACAGCGCTGGATATTACGACTGCTAGTTTAGTAGTATATTCTCACGGTAATTAAATTTAGAAATTATTCTCTAAAGTTTAAAGAAAATATATATTTTTGATTCATTGAGTATAAGAAAGACTTAATATTACACCAGTCTGATTATTTATTCATTATTTTAAGCCAGGGGTGGCGAACCTATAGCATGTGTGCCCAAAGTGGCACGTAAGGAGAAATCATCTGGCACGTAACGTATCATACTATTTTGATTTATCATTTGTCTTCTTCAATCATTGTTTCATTTATTCTAATTAAAGCATTTTTGTTTAATTCATTTAATTCAAAGTTTAAAACTTTGGCACGCATAAACATCTTTAAAGCTAAGTATGGCATGCGGGCTCAAAATGGTTCACCACCCCTGTTTTAAGCTATAGATAATCCAGATATTTGACTTAATATATATAAATTTGAGCTATGGTTTGTATCTGACAAACTTAACATAATTAATTAATTACAATTATTACACCAAAAAGTAAAAATAATTGTAGTTATCACAGAAAATAGTCCTATTTGCTATAAAAAAAATTTGATGATAAATTCTATTAACCAAAATAAATTTCCATTAAGTTCACCATTATAATAGACATCTTATGAGTCAATCCATGTAATATGAAATTCTTGACTGAAATAAATCAAAAACTGAATTATTCACACAAAGACAATTTAAAATAAAAATTACATAAAATTTTTATATAAGAATTATTTATTTTTATATATAATAAATCAACAAAAATAATTTTACAAATAATAACATCAATTCAACTGGAACAAATACTATATCCACTCAAGAGAAATTTAAATTTATGGAATTTTGCATTTAATAAAATGATCAACATTTTCTTTTGTCTAGCAAATACAATTATTTTTGACATTTTTTAAAGTTATTACATTAACTATACATCATTTTGTAAAGATGTTTATGGACCCACTGGTTGCTTTGAAGTACAAAAATCTAGATAACTGATGATATAAATACGAGCATTTTTTTAAAATCTGTACAGAACTCTGCTTTTTTTGGATATAAGACTGATAAAAATAAATTTCAGATTACAGATGTGAATAATAAACAGACTTTATACATTAATTATCTATTAGGCTTAAATGATAAAAGCCAGAAGACTTTTCAATAGATCTTTTTCTTTTTTCAAAGTTGCAATATAATTGCTAAATACTCCCAAGGCCCTATCTGATTTACTTCTTTTCTTTACATACATAGCTCGGGGAAGAACCCAATCATTAACAAACTGTTCTGTTTGTTTGGTTATACCATACAAACTGCTCTTTTTTCACCCGTAACATTTTTTAATAATATATTTCAATTTTCCTAAAAGCATTTTTCTTGGGGAATGATTGTGCTAATGTAATTTCAAATTTTACAACTTGATAATGCTTTTATAATGAATATATTAGAGTATGATATTTCAATTTTCAAAAATATTATATATATATATACATATACATATGTATATATATAAAATATACACATATATGTACGTACATATACACACATGCACAAATAAGAGCATATGTGTTTGCATGTATATATATATTTATGTATATGTATGTATGTGCATATATGTATATACAAGACATACAGATGATTTGAAATAATTACATTCTTGTTAAAAATTCTGGAGACCTGATAGCCATTTACATTAACATAGAAAAACTTTTCATGTGAGATATATTTTATAACAGAATATAATGAATATACTAAAATATATAATAGGAGGCACTTGATGTTATGCACAAACTTCTTGAATGATTGATTTTTTAAGAACACTTGCAACATATTTTGTCAAAATATCTAGATGTTTCATTAATGCAATTGTTACTTTTTTTAGTCTGCTTGAATTACAAATAAATGTTATATCATTAAGAAACAAAATATCAAAAATTCTCACAATGTGAATATGTCAAAATAAAAATTCATTTCTGTGATTTTCTTTAGGAAAATTCTCACATTAAGTTCATCACATATGTGTATGGCAGTAGTTGTAAAGATGAAAGCAAAGCCACTTCATTGTGCTTGGCCAGGTCTCCATTTAGTCGGGGGTCGGTCGCTTCCTAATGATCTTGTACTATTATTATTTTTTTCTTTTTTGCAGATGGCATAAAAATATTGTCCATCTAACAAACCTAATATTGGATTTTTTTAAATCAAGCTGAATTAAATGTTCCTCAGATAAAATTGGATAACTACTAGCTATTGCCCTTTAGAAGTAATCTGTAAAGACTATGAAAACTGTTGTCATGCAAAGTTACTTTGATCTGCTTCACACAAATATTTTCCTGTAAAGAAATATTAAAAAATAATTATATTTTAATCATAACAAACAAACAAATAATGGTACTTAAATAAAAAAGATAATGAAATTTTAGTTTGTCACAAATACAAGCATTAATATGAATGCTTGTATTTGTGATATCAAGAATTAAAAGAAAATAAGAGAAATGTGTACAAAAAGGAAATTTTTATGTTGATTTTTATGTTATGATGAATACAAAATTGGGCATTAAGATGTTGTTTTTCCAAACATCTTAATGCCCAATTTTGTATTTATCAATATTTAAGCATTTTTTGTTGCATATTACTCTTGTAGTCAAGGCTAATGGCTGCTTTTTTCAGCAAACAGAACCTTTTTGTAAAAAGGATCTATTTGCTGGAAATTCTAAAATTATTCAATCTTTAGTTAATTTTAAAAGACTGATCAAATACAATATTTTTAATGTGAACTGTAAGCTGATGATATCCTAGTTTTCATCCCAAACTAAATTTCTTCTCATCAATTAAAGACTATGAATGCTTACCTCAGGAATCCAAATAAATATTTATAATAATTACAACAATTTTTGAGTTAAATTTTATTCAGAATAATAATTAACAAAATCAAAACTAAAGATGACATTATAGAGTTTAAAAAACAGAACAAAAAGGCAATGTAGAAATTCATTTTACATTAATTAACTCCTTAAGCCTCAAGCAATTTTTGATATTAATGTAATTAAATATAAAAAATACTTAAAACTGAAAAAAAACGAAAGAAATGCATTAATTTTGAAGAAAAAGCTTCAAATTTTATTTTCCTTTGTCTCGTCTTTCTGTGAAATTTGACATTGATGAGTCATTGTTTACACAGCTGGATGACTGAGAACAGCTGGTGTCATATTTCCCGGCGGGACATTCTCATAGACGTCTCGGGAGACGATGGGTTTATAGTAGGGTGAATACTAACTAGACCTATACTTTTAAATATTTTTAAAAAATTAAAATTTTTATTGAGATTTCCGACCCCCCCGACTTAATTAAACTTATATATAATAAAATCTATTAATTAAAAAAATTAAAAAACTATCAGAGGTCGTTTTTGACATCAGAAACTAGCTTTAAATAACTTTACCGAAGGAAAATCAGTGCACTACAACTTTAGAACGATGAATAAAATTTGATATCAAACTCCCATTAAAAAACTATTAAAAAGCAATTAAGCGTGAAGCATGCGTCATTAAAGGTAAATTAAAATCGCGATAAAATTTTTTCGCACGGGCAAAAAATTTGGATACAAAAACCATTCCAAAAATTAAAAAATTTCAAAAATGGCCTTAAGGACCGATTTTATGTAACGCTATGTAATTTGCCCTAGATATCTCGGGTTTGGACTTAAGGGCTAATTATTAACTAATATTTGTATAAAATTTAAAATATTACATAACTTTCAATCTGAGTGTGCATTAGCAAAGGCAATAATTTAGTGTAGTGACACACACACACACACACACACACACACACACAGTGTGTGTCACTATACTAAATTATTAGTTGTACTTGTGTACTGTCTTCACTAACATGCATTTGAAGAATATCTTCCACACACACACACATGTATATATGATACTATATTTAATAGGGAAGTGGCTACTAAGAAATCTCTCTGAAATATCAAATTCATCTGTGTACTCAACTTACTAGCTACCTCCATAATTCAATTGCAGGTGTTTAAGAACTGTTCCAATTATGTAAATTAAATAAATACAACTTATTGTTTTTATTTTATGACTTTGTCCAATAATAATAATAAAATAAACTTCTTGCATTTTGTATTAGACTAAAGAATAATAGAGATTTGAGTATTGTGCAAGTAATTGTTAATACTTGCACAATACAAAGACTACATCCTAATTACAGTAGAGCATCGATTATCTGACTCAATTGGGGGACTGGGGTTGGTCGGATAACTGAAAAAACGGATAACCGAAAAATATGAAAAAATACATTATTAGTATAGTATATTATATTAGTATATTGCTATTAACCTACTTCGCGTTGAATTTTCATCGATGTTAAGCCTAACAAAAATTTTTTTAAAATAATAATCGTAGCTATTGTATCATTAAAAATTAGAAAATTAAGCCTCGTTTACATACTGGCTCCCTTTCATGGTTGAGCCATGTTGCCAGCTAAAACACACAAAAATACTATTAAAGTAGCCAAGACATAGCCAAATATTGTAGCGCCACATCACTAGCGGACATTTGAATTTGCCGACTAGAATGGTCAGTTAACTGATGTGACGGTTGATTGGAGGTTGGATAATCGATGCTCTACTGTGTATGTATTTATTAAAAAATTAAATCTTAATTCATTGAAATAGGTCAAGGGTTGTAAAACAATGGGGACTATAAGGAGTATAGTTAAACACTTGCTGTCATTTCTCATGAATGTGTGGATATATAATTGTCAGTCTGGTGGGTTGGTTGGTTACCTGCCACTGGTCAGTTGTGTTGTGAATCAACTCATCAACTTTAACTCATAACTGTAATTTAAAATTGAATATAACCCACTCTATCACATAAACTGTATTCCCTTTCAAATTATCTTTCAAACACAGATAACTCGTGTTATCTGTCCAAAATTACAGTACATAAATTTTTTTTATTTTATTATTATTATTTACTTCTATTTGCTATGAATATACTTCATTTCTAGCACTAAGAACAGGACTGGTTTTTGAGATAACTCAGCTAATATCCAGTAACAGAATTTCTGAGTATTTAATTCTTATTTAGCAGTCAACATGTTAATATAGCTAACTTAATACATACCTCAAATCTGCTTACTTTACAGTGGACCAGTATATGTTGTAATGTAATGACAAAAATTTATGTTTTCAGTTATTGCATGTTTTATGAATATTGAAATTGTCATTATTAGCAATTACAATCAATAATCATAAACTAACACAATTAATCTAAGTCCTAATGAGCTTCTGATATTCTATTACAATCTTTGCTATTTCAGAAGAATTAAATAAAGATGTAAAGTTTGCCTTGCAATTATTATACTTAAGCAGATTAAGTATCAAAAGAGAAGAAATATTGAAATCATTAACAAAAAAATCGAAATTTTTAAAAAATTCATTTACCAGCAATCACTTGTTTTTTGACTAGAGATAAACGATAACCAGTTCCTATTAATTCAAATTCAGCTCCAGAGAGTGATGTTCCCTGACAAATAAATTGGGCAGCAAGAATACTCGGTATTGAAGGTCCGGATGAGAGGTCAAACCTGGCCCGCAGGGACCCCAATCCCCCTTCTTCCGAATGATTAGAAAGCTCTGGAATTTTCCAAGAAGCTCTGCTTGTTTCATTATTCCTGAAATTTTAAATTGTATTATTTAAAATTATTCTGTTAACTTTTAAACCAAATTCATTAAAAAAAACAAATAATAATTTACCAGTTTCCTAGAGGTTTTGACTGCATATCTGTCACACCTCCATCTACAGGTACAATAATATGTATATTTGTGATAGAAGCCGGAGAGGCTAAAGCAGCTGGATGATATTTATAATCTATTCTGATATCGGTCATTGACTGTTCACATTTCCAATATGCAACAAGATGTAAAGGAGTGCTGGTTGCACCAGGTCCTGATTTGATCTAAGTAACAATAGTTATATATAAATAATTAAAATAGTGTTAATTCAATGAAAAATTTTACTTACATGATATTTTAAAATGTCAATATTAAAATAAGATGCTGATGGTGTTTGTTCATACTGTTTCCTGAGTAAAGATGTTAATGCAGGCATGTTAAAATCATATACATAATGATTGAATGAACTCTTTATTGGATCCCTTTAAAGATGTAAAGTTTTTAATACACAATACATACATTGCATATAATTTGTATGAAGTAATTGTAATGTTAAAACTTACTGAACTATTAACTGTTTATTTGGAAGAATGTTTTCCAATCTACTAGCTTTGGTTACTTTGAAAGAAAGAATGGCTGGTGATGGGTTATTTGCTAATACTTGCACAATACCTGCTGGAAATGATACTTTCATATCTCCCATCAGTCGTAACTGGCATCTGAAATAAAATAATTACTTGGGTTTATAAATAGCTTAATTAAGAATAATTAATAGTTTATAACTAGTTTAATTAAGAATACATCTTAAATTTTCTTTATCATATTTCATTATAACTTCCATCTTTAGATAACTTAATGTTTATTAAAACAATATTTTTATTCCTTCCAGATTTTGATTTTCTTTCATAATTTATAATATCCAATACAGTGGAGCAATGTTTATACTGTATTTTTGCAGAATGACTGGTATACCAGTCTATCTGGGGAGACCATGAAATCATATTTTCGTATGGTAAAACATGCATGCCAGTTTAAATGAGGTTATACATCCTTCTCTAGAGGACATATTGAAAAAGAATGAGTTTTTATTCTAAAACTGTAAAACTGTCAGAATTACATCAAGAACTATGGTTACTGTATATGTTTAATTTCTGCATTTTGTCTTCTTTCTAATGATGTAAAAAACTCGTAGAATTCCAAAAGTGCTTTTTTTCATGTGTATTTTATTGTCATTTGATTCAAAAATGCAAAAATAAACATATTAAATTTAAGAAACTCCCTGTAAATTAATTCAGCTTACACCAATTAACATTTGCTTTGTGTGAAATTTGAGAGGAAGGTGTTATTTTTAAGGTCAGGGTAGGTAGTCAGCATAGCCCACACTGACTGACCTACTACTATTCTACCATCACCACCATCACTGTCGTCAATAAGTCGTTAATTGTTTTATTGTCTTGTAAAGGAAAACTCTTCCTGATTTTAAGTCAGTCAAATTACAATGTTGTTATTTTAGTGTTCTCAGAAGAATGTTTTCTTTAATGTTTAACTAACAACTAGTTTTATTAGATCTGATTAATTTTATATTTTACTTGCAGTTTAACCGACATGCTGGTCTCCTGTTTTTATGCGGCATGACAATCATTCCACAAAAATACAGTATATCTCTAAAGAAAATAGCCTAAAAGAATTATAAAAAAATTTGAATTCAGATATACAAGACAGCACAATTAATAGATACTTTTTGCAAAGATATGAAATTTTTAACTGACCTAAGTATTTTTCTCCACATTTGTACATTCCTGTCCAAATGTGATGAGAAGTCAGTCTTACTTATCAGTATCTGCATTATGAGTAACTATATAAATGCGGCTGTATTTAAAACATTCATTTTATTTCAAGATTTTGACAAGTGCATTGAGTGTATATTTGAAAGTGTTATTGGTTTTTATTATTACATTGAACTCTGTTCTAGTTTTTCCGAGTTATTTTTTTCCGAAAGATTTGGCAAAACAATTAGTACTACCACAAATGCAAAATTGCAAATCCTACATCATGTGAAAGAATTGGGAAAGAATCAAATATTTTATAGAATTGTGAGATTTGTGGGATCGTTTATTTTTAATTATTATAAAATTATAAAAATATTTTATTGTATAAAATTATTGAGAGAAAAATTTTAAAAAGAAAGGAAACTGCTGTAGATCACTTCCTCATGAAGGGAAGTTGAACTTCCTTTCTACGGCCGACTTGTGAGATGATTCAGATGCGGCCTTTGCACATGTTACTTGGCCGCCTGAAGAAGCCGCTATAAAAAGGGATTTTTTCTGCTAATCCAGGCAGTTCTCCATAAGAAGTAATTACCACAGAAAGTGCAGTTCCTGGAAGAGAATTCACCATGCAAGTTTAACAGTTCAAATTGGCCACACTATGCCCTGTTCAACAAAACTATTGGTTTCGTTAGAAGATCCTTCTCATAAGTATATAACATTTATGAACAAAGAAAAGTATTGTTAAGGTAGTATAAATCGCTAGAAATATTGTAAACTCTCTCTGCAAGATAGGTAGAATTACGGTTTAGTCTCTAAGGTATATAGCTTCTCCGATATATCGATAATAATTCCATTTATTTGCATTCTCATAATAGTTGTATTTTTATTGATCATTTGTATATTATTGTATTTATCCATTTATTCGATTCGTCCTATTAAATTTATTGTTTATTTGTTAACAATGATCTCACTTATTCATTATGCACTCCAACTCATGCAATGGTTAACCCTCCTATAATTTATTCAGATGTTGTCACTCGAACGTCACAGATTTATAATTAGATGTAAACGCGAGTTAGGGCACATATTTTAAATTTCCTTAACTGGTGTCAACATCCTGATGTGGATCTTGATTTCACAATCTAGATCCTTTTTAACACTTTTAAAGCCATCCTCTGACGTAGAGATCGGATCTTATGATCTTGTGCCAATTAAGTGATACACAAGTTCTAACAACTTTGTGCCCCTGGCTTATCTCACAGAATTTGCTGGATCATTGCCAATGCAAGAACAAAAACAAAATATTGTTCTATATGTCTTTCAAATAGAGGCCACAAAATTAAAATAGTTTGCAAATAATGTAAAAATAGTATTTGTCAATAAGATTATATCTATCATGTTATAATAAAGAATAAAATTTTAATTAATTGTGGTTAATAAATTACTGTTTTAGAAATAATATATATAATAATAATCTTTTTAAGATTATGTACAAAAAATTTTATATACTATTTGAAAACCAGTAATATGTTTAGGCATATCTATAGTAAGAAATTATTATTTTTTTTATTTGTAAAATATATAAAAATAATATGTTAAAAAGTTAACATATTTATAACTGAATAGCATATGCCTCCTGAAAGCTGAAACTGAAGTAACAAATATGCTGTCAATCTGATAATGCCAATCATACCACCTATCACTAATTGTAATAACTACAAACAATGTAAAATACAAAATGCTTGACATCATCACAGTTTAAATATGAAACAATAACAATAATTGTGTAAGTTATCAAAGTTTCTTATATTAAAATAAACTTACTTAGATTCATCTGCTCCTCTAAAATATGCATGAACAACTTCTTGGAAGGCAACTGCAAGAGGAATTGTATCTGATATCCCAATTGTTAATGGGGAAGGCCCTCTTGAAGAACCTACTGGCATTGATGTTGTTTTAAAATCATTTGTTAAACTTCCAATACTCTCCGTTCTTGTCATTGTATTTGGTAAAGGTGACATTCGACCTCTTGTTGGACCCTAAAAAGCAAAAGTATTTTAATAAATTAAGTTTTACTTCATTTTATTTTTCAACATTAATATAGACAAATTACTATTATTAACATCAAATTTATTAGCTGTAAAGCATGCATACTAGATTATGAAAGTAATGCTATACAAGAGTTATACATTATGAAAGTAATATTATACAAGAGTTGATCAAAAATATCCAAGACAGAATTTATTGTAGAAAATAAAGTAATTACCAGTTATTGGAAGCAAGTTATCTCCTTCAAGTATGACCCTTCAGACTGTGTGCAATGATTGTAGTTATTCTTCTACTTATCCATGCATGTATGATAGACCTCAATAGTAATGTTCCATAGCTATCATGTTCAGTTATATCTCTGTGATACCTTGATATTGTTTCTTCAGGTTACTTTTAAGCCTGAGAAAGAGGAAGAAGTTGCAGGGAGCCAAATCTGGTGAACAAGATGGTGAAAATCTATAATGATGCACTCAGCCTAAATTCTATAACACTTAGGGCTGCATGGCACAGTGCATTGTCATCATACAGAAGCCAGTTTCTGGAAAACTATTTATGAGGAGTTTCTGATGAACTGCATCTCAAAAGGCACTGTAGAACAGTTCTGTAGACAGACTGCAATCAACAGTCTTATTGATTTGTGCCATGATGTATGATCTGTGTGCAGATAATTATAAATTGAAAACAGGAATATCATTCAAATGCCTTGGACTGACCGAATACCATTTCTCTAAATGCTTGTTGTGGCATTTCATACATTTCAATGGTCATCTGATAAAATTTAATGCAAACACATTAGTCCTTCAACTCATCCATTTCATGACACAACAGAGGGAAACATAAATTTGCATTGTAGCTCAACTCACTTCACTGACAACTGAATTGCACTACCACTTGCTGCTCTGGCATGTGGCATCAGGAGATATAGTCAAATATCCTCCATAGTTACCACAATACTACTATTAGTAGTTTCAGTATAAAAAATTGTGTCCCAGATATTTTTGATCAGCCCATGTATTAATCATTAATTTATTTATTAAGCTTTATACTTATAAATATTAAATTGTAAAGCAAAATTTGAGTTTTTATTTAAACAACTCAAAATATTTTATGAATCAAGTATTTTGATTTCAATTTAATCTCATTCAAAATATAATAATTTTAATCAAATTAAGATATATCCTGATTATTTCAGACTATATCTTAACCAATTATGAATTATATCCAAAGTAATTTGCACTAAAGTAAATGGCTAGGCCATCATCTTAAATTTAATTATTAATACAATTTAAAATTTAATGTAACTTTGTACTTGTATAGTAATTTTATATAATTTAAGCATGATATTATAACAACTTTTACATACATCAAGCATGCATGGAAATTTAAATTATAACTATATTGGCATTTGTTTTTTGTTTATATTCCATAATGTGATTTTGCTGTGTGTGCAAGGACATTAAATTTAAAATTGTTCTCATGGTATTTTGTTACTGATTTACATTCAATTTACATAAACTTGAATGTTCATATTGTTTTTCTTTATTATTATTATTATCTTGGGTGTAGTGGGTTATACTCGGTTGACACTGATTGCTGTGTACTATGCCAGACCAGAGTAAAGGCATAGCAACCAAAACAAAACAAAAATTAAATAAATATGTCAGTATGTATCTGTATTATTATTATTATTATTACTGTATTTGTTTAAAAATTTTAAGTTGAAATAGGTTATTTCCAAAAATGCTTACTGTTGAATAAAGTGTTTTTTAGATTCTTTATAACTTCAACTGATTGTATAGTTGTCTTTTACATTCACATATATTATACATTTATACATAATTAAAAATATAATATTGAATTATTTCTACTGTTTTTGCTATATATAGCTGAGGAAAATTTATTAGAAATAACAATCAAAACATACAATGGAAATAGAATGGCATTGAAAATGTAAATATATTGTAATAGAAACTGATACACTTGCATTGTTTAAAAATGTCAAACTTAAAACTGAATATTTCACAAGCATAATTAAAAATTTCAATTAAATGTTCTCAAAAAAAAACTAAAAAAAAAATAATAATAATATCCTTGTAAATAAAAACAGTAGTAAGTAATTATTTGATGGTTATGTAAATATTTGGTTAATATATATTTGTTCTCAAAATGTTCTGAAGAAAATAATGATAATATTAAATTTATAAAAAAAAAAATTCTGATTTATGTTTGAATTTAATAACTATTTTTAAAACTCAACAAGCCATTTCAAAAATTAACTAAAATAAAAATTAACCAAAAAGTCATTTTTCAAATTTGTCATTGAATGTTATTCTAAATTTTGACAAAATCTAATATATTAAAATAATGAGCAAATTAAATAATATTAAGAACACAAATATATATATATTAATTACTAGCTTACCCATCGTGCATTGCTGCAATCTCAGAAGAAACAAAATTCAAGCAAACTCGTTATGATAAAATTCAATTTACATTTTATCATTTTTATTGAAACTTATTATTATTATTCATTTCCATCAGGAAAACATTTCAAAGTGTCATTTCAATTCTATTTATTTATTGGAGTGCTTGTGGATACACGATATTTTTTGTTTTTCCGTCTGGTGCATACACGAATAAATCAGAAGGTTTTCCGACGCATGAGCTGGTCACATACAGTTGTCCATGCGAGAAGCACAGATTCTCCAAATTTAGCCCACATACTTGCAGCAATTGTCAGAAGTGCGATAGTCCCCGTTTTTATATATATATTTTTAATCCTTTACAATTTTAATTATTTAATTGCTCCTTTCTCTCTTCCTTGGCATGTTGTGAAATTTCTGATAGTTGGATAATAAACCATTTTATTGTAATTTGTCTTTTTAAATTATTTTGAGTTGATATTAAAATTTGGAAAAGGGG